TTTGCTGCGCCTCAAACTCCCAACCAAGACCCAACTCGATCCGTCTTCACTTCACGACTATATTCGTAACAACTCTCAAAACGCCTTTTATAAAGATGGTGCCTCGACCCCTCTCAAGCCCACCTGGCACTGCTCTGATTGGTCGTTACTTAAATTACGATAATAATGTTATTTAGTCTAGGAAAAACGTAACTTATAAAGTAAGATCAAATTAAAAGTTATTAGAAGCTTTTACAATATCAATAAACATTAAACATTGCACACTATGCGTTAAACAGTAATTCAGTTGACAATGGCTACTTAATAACTTCCTACTTTAAATATATTGTTAGCTGAGGGTGGAACTTAAAAATAATGGTGGGTGGATGCCAATATAAGAGACCGCACCCTCATTTTCGGGACACACTCGCCACCGAACACTGAAGCCAGCGGAAGCTCTGCCCGTTTGACTAGCCAAAATAATTAATCATTTTAACTCTGATAGTTGATTAAGTTAATGTTGTATTTTTAAATCATTTTAGTGTTAATTACATTTATTCAACTCTGTTAGTTTTCTTATTAATTCAAAAAGTACTGTAGTAGTGTATAAGAGATTGTTTTTTTAATTTTCCCTGCTTCTGATCCGTTTGTCCTTGTTTGTACATCCTGATACGATGTTTCCATTGTTATTTATTTAATTGGCTTGTCATACGATCAGAAATATATTTTTAGAAATTGTAACTACGTTTGTTTAAAAGGACAAATTAGCACTTTGTTTTCGGTGTTTCGTATAATATACGTAAGTAAGACGTGATGTGACGGTGTGATCAAGTTTTATGATGTCAACTTTGGTGAGTACGTTCCAATTATTTTATTCTCCGTTTTAAAATAACAAATAGAAGTTGAATTTGTTAGTTTGTTGTGAAAATTTTTAAATGGCTCAACTTTAATATTTTGCCGTGCTTACCCTTTTTTTTTTCAGAGGGGAATGCTTTATGCATACTCCGCGCCCCGGGGGGGACGCGGTAGTTATGTGGGATTCTCCTCCATAGCGGAGGCATACCCACTAAACCCCTCTGTTCCTCCAACGCATCGGGACGGGACCACGGGCACGCTTTTGCTCTCGTCCGCGGCCCCGTCTGCGCCAGCTGCCGAGGCAGCTCCCTCACGGGGGGAGGCCGCCCTCAATGGCGGGCAATGGACTCCCCCGCATCCATTACCCGAGGGCTATCGTGGGGGGGGAGGGCGGCGACATATTGCCGTCTTCTCCTCCCCACTCTCCGACGTCGGAGCGGGGGCGCCAGAGGGTCTCTCTCGCGCTCCCGCTCCTGTGCCTCCTTCTGCGAAATCACCTCTTCGCAGAAAGAGGCAACGGCGTCCCAGGACCTCTCACTTCCTAGCATGGCGCGTACAACGCCGGGAAGTGAGAGGTCGTCGCCGGTCGCCGCCACCAGGTTGCGGCTCTCTTCTGACCAGGCGCAGCACACTTCCAGCGTGTGCTGCGCCGTATCCTCCGGGTCGCCGCACCCATGGCACAGCGCCGTCTCCTCCCTTCCAATCCTCCACAGGTACCGCCCGAATCAGCCGTGTCCGGACAGCACCTGTGTCAGACGGAAGGTGAGGGACCCGTGGCTCCTCCCACACCATTCCGGGAGCTGTGGGCGTATGCCCTCTATGGTTCGCACGCCATATTCGGCGTGCATTAGGCCACTCGCCCAGAGCTCCACTGTCGTCCTCCTCGCCTCCCGGGCACGGGAGAGCTCCTCCGGGGCCGGTACTTCGCCCCGGGCTCTTTGTTCCGCCCGCGCCCAGTAGGCTTCAAGCAGCACTCCCGCCTCTATTTCCCAAGGCGGGGTGCCGGCCAAAACGCTACCGCGTGGCCTACCGTACGGTAGGCCCGTCAAGCACGCGCCGCAACAATGCTTTGCGGCGTCCTTGCCGTGCTTATCCTGCTGATCAATTATTTACCGTAACTTGAATGCGTCGCTTCGAATTACGTCTAATTTGAAATACTTGCTAAAAAAAGAAAACATGCCTAATAAGAGGCGGCAGAATAGAAGTCGGTCGCGAAATCGCAGATCGCATTCTAGCCAACATGATTCGCGCTACTGACGGCGTAGCCCTTCTAGCAATATTTTAACCGAAACAATGCAACAAATTTTGAATAGATTGGTGTCATTACAGGAACAACAGGTAGTGTCTTCATCTCATCGGAAGGAGTCAAGTGGCCGCGCCGCAGTGGAAGTGGCCAGGTCCGCGGTGCCTGTGACAACCATCATCACCGAGCCCGTTCCTGCCGTTGAGCCTGCCGTGTCGATGCCGCCGCCGTCGCAGTTGCGCGAAGCTGTGACTGCGAGCTCGCTTCAAGGGCGCGCTTCAGGCTTCAACGACTCCGTCCTCACTGGAGCGTCCCGCGAGCGCTACGTCAGTCCAGGCCAGCGCCGCCGATCGCATCATCGATGCGATACGATCCATAAATATACCGGTGAGATCTAACCAGTCTTATTATATTTCTAATTTTGATCCGAGTGTTAATGACATAGAGACATGGTGTGAAGAAGTAGACCGTGCTAGGTCTTCTAGTAATTGGAGTGATCACGAATGTCTTTCTCGCATTGCCAATTGCTTAAAAGGAGACGCTAAAACGTGGCTCAGTGAATGGGTAACGAATGACCGCAGTTGGAGTAATTTTAAAAACGAATTTAAGCCTTTATGTCTTTATAAGATTTTTTTTTATATTATTATATTTTAAATCTAACCTTATTTGATAAGAATATTGTAGTTTCAGTGTGAATTGTGGGATGAAGTGTATTATAATTTTGAGAGTTAGAAAGCTGATGTTTTCTTCGGAGAAGATTTCCAAGAACCATGTGGTAATTACATTGTGTTTTTTAATACAATAGTACTATATTTTGTATTTTTTTGTTGTTTTGACTATTATTCTATCTCACTACATATCAAATAAAGTATCAATGACTACACTTGATATTTTATGTACGTAAATAAATCTTATTCCATATTTACGTTAAATCTTGCTAAATGTTTTTATATTCGTAATTACTTAGTAAAAGTCAATGAAATGAAAGTTCGCTTTGAAATTGTATAGAAGTTCTTAATAAAATAACAGGTAATGCTTCACAAAACCGAATCAAGCCAAATTTCCATTACATATGTCTTAAACGATAGGGAATATTCTTACACTGGTTTGGAAGTTTTTTTGGGGTCGTAACTTAAGTTGAAAAACAAGGAATAAAACTACATAGGGTAAGTTAAGTTTGGAACAATAAAAAAAAGGAACAATAGAAAAGCGCAGGATAAGTAAAGCTAGGTTTATAACATGTAATAAAATACCAAAAGCAAACTGGAAAGGTTAGGTTTGGAACATTTTTAATACCATAAAAACATCGAAAATGCGAAAATATTTTCTATTATAATTCATGTTATTTTATAAAAATTGTGGGTGTCAGCATACCTGTGACAAAACTGAAAACATATGAAACAATTTTATTATCACACTGAAATAAATTAAGACCCCGAAAAAAAATCTTCATAGTAATATATTCATCTTCATCAATCTTCATAGCAATAATACTCATGGTGATCATTTCCTAAAGTTTAAAATTGATTTTACGAAAACTTGTACCAAATAAAATTATTATTCACAGACTTTGTTTATTGTTGTGTTTGGGTCGGACTTTAAAATGGGACTGTGACTCACTTTCCAATGACAAATTGACCGAAATTTATAATTAAAAAGTACACATCTTTGGTTTGTTTATAATAAAATTATGAATAACATCAACAATATATGATCTTATAAAAATAAAGATATCTGTAATTGTTTATTTTTCTAAATAAACTAAGCTACCAGCAGTTACATCCAACCTCTGAAGTTTCTGTAACTTATTAAATAATAAGAATAAGCTTTACAGTTATAATTAATTACAAAGGAAGAACATTGTATGAACAACTTATCAATTTTTAATACTTTTTGTTTTTAGGTGTGAAACAAGTAAAAAGTAGTAGAAAACATCTATGGATTCACAGAAATATAATTTTTATAAAGATAAAATTTTACAGTCTATTCATATTTAAAAGAACTAAATGTTGAACTAGAACTTATGACCTTTTGCTGATTGCTAAAAAATAAATTTACAAC